ACAATTTTCCAAGAAGATGAGAAATACTACAAGTTGACTCGAAGCTGAAAATTATAACTATAATGCATGCATAAGAGCCAGGTTAATACTGATACATGGTGCTGCTAATGAAACACAGACAGTCATACTAAACTCTATCATTATAAAAGCAAAATAATACTAACAGTAAATAAAAGAACTGTAACTCCTGAAATCCAATCCTAACATAATGCCATAAAATAGTTTATAAGAAATCATCAAGTAGAGAAAAGTCTGAAAAAGAAATGCACATTTGTGTGCAGAACTCATTAATTATTTCACTCAAATGTATCTTGTGATCTTTTGGTAGGAGTCTGCCTCAAGGCTGACAGCCACTGGACTTAACTGCCTCACTGTATATAAAGAAGTTTAAACTAGATTCACCTCAGTTGAGCAAGTACATTGTGAACAAAATGCACCTTAGGTGCATTAGTATTAATTGTCTAATAAAATTAGGTACAACAGTGCAATAACAGTCACAGGGGTTATGTTTCTGCAGAACTTAAATTTGATACTTTAAGTTGCTGATAATAGTTCTACTAAAGTAGAATAACTTTTACTTTGAGCATTTTTACACTCTTGCACTGGTTCTTTTGCCTTAGTAAAATATCTTTATTATTTGTTTTACCACTAATTTCTCGATGAATATTGCGAGTCAGGCGACCTGTCTAGTATTTTACAGTCTTGAATGTTTAAGTATGTATAAATCCACTGAGAAGGGCCAGGCAGGGGAAGGAGGGCTTCTGACTGCTGAATCCACGCCTTTTTCACCCCGTCACTGCTTTGTCCTCACTCACTCCAGACAGACGCAGCTAACTGGCAAGGTAAGACGCACTAAATCTTTTTTTCTAAATCTACAAAGATAGATTCACCATCAAGATGTGGCTCTTTTGAAGTCGCTCATAAGAATCTCTCTGTGTGCGCGTTTCTCTCCATTGTGGGCGTCTCTTTATTATCCAACTGTGCGCAGTTTTGACTCTGGAAGCTTGTTAATTGTTTACAATGCGCCTTTTGAAAGTAAAGCGTCTTCACGATTGAGCTGAGCGCGTGCAGTCAATGGCATCTTCACATTTCTAACGACTTTAATGTTTCCCAAATATTTGAGGATTATAATAATAAGACGCTTCTAAACAGTTGATGCGGAATGACCCCTCTGTCTCCCTCTCTCGCGCGCGCACGCTGTAAAGTTAAATGCGGCTAAGCCACCTGACATCCATGCCACCTGCTTTATAGTTATATAAGTTGGCACAAATGAAGATGTTGTACATTTGCAGCCTAATTATATGGCACCTACACTCTGAAATCGGACAGTGCCTTGTATAGTAAAGCATGGATCCAAACGTGTCCTGGCCTCTGATTCTGGAACCTAACTCCATGCGCCCTAAACAAACGATACAATCACTGTCATGCTTTTAGAATAACCTCATTGTTTCAGGCGGCACCTCCCACTCTCTTGGGTCATAAAAATGTGTTAATGATTATCAAATCACCAAAATCTTGATGCAAGTTATACTAAAATGTAGTAACAGAAAGTAAACTGTTGAAGTCAGACAGAAATAAAACTTATAATTTATTGCAGGAGAAGTAGCTGAATTTAGGAATGTGGTGTACTGGAGAAATCAGTTATGTTTCAAACTGAAAGGCTAGGTTTTAATTTTTTTTTCAGTGCCATTGTTGTGGGGACATTCTGGTCAAATGTCACAACTTCAAACAGCAGTTTGAGGTTTAAGACTCAGTTTTAGGGTTACAGTTAGATTTGGGATTTGTAAAGGTTAGTATTAAGGTAAGAAATTTGTTGTGATGGTTAGTGTGAGGCTAACGGGCTAATGGGTCAATGGGCATCCATAGAACTATAGTAAGCTATGACTTTGTGTGTGTTTGTGTGTGTGTGTGTGTGTGTGTGTGTGTGTGTGTTTGCCTGTATGTGTGCATAATTTTTCCTCTTAACAGGATTTACCATGAAGATATTCTCATTACATCCACACTTCCTTCCTCTTGTGCTCCTGCATTTGGTGGCTGTATCACACGCCAGTCAGGATGACCTTATAATCAATACTAGTCACGGGAAAGTTCAAGGGAAGTTGCTTTCAGTGCCTGGTGGTGATGTTAGAGCATTTCTTGGAATTCCTTATGCAAAACCACCTCTAGGACAACTGAGATTCAGAGCTCCACAGCCAGCAGAGAGATGGGAAGGGGTAAAGGATTCCACTAAATACTCAGATTCCTGCTACCAGGTATTGGATACAGCCTTTCCAGGTAGGATCCTGTGCTGTGTACATGTACACATATGCACTCCCATATGCAGTACATGCAATGAAATATGCAGACTATAAGTAGGTGTTGTTTGTTTAATACCTAATTTCAGACATTAAAACACCTACCTGAAATGTCCTCCTAGGACTGTCCAGAGTTCTTAATGTCACAACAGGGCATTTATTACAAAACACAATGTGTAGTATAGCATTTCATCATAGTGTGGTGTAACATTAGTGTATAGCATGGTGTGGTGTAGTGTGCATGTATATAAATTCTGAATGATAAGAAAACAGCAAACGAAGTTTGACACTAAATTATTTGATAGGACATAAGAATTTGTTTTGATTGTTCTCATATGCTGATAGTATGAGCCAGTGAATTGTGATAAGAGGTGATAAGTGGTGCACGGGTAGGTGTTTCAGTGGAAGATGGGTGTTGCTGTATGTACAGTAACATCATGAAACACACTGACTCCCTGTGTGGGAATGAATACGAATTTGCACATTATGTAACTGAGAGCTGTGTATGGCTATAATTCAGCTAAAATCTAAGGTCAGAGTAATAAAGTGTTTGTGATAAAGTGTCATGATGAAGTTGGACATTAACTTATGACAGATATGAGAAATTACATTCACCTCTAAAGATCTATTGGGATAGATCTTTATCAGAGATAACAGTATCTGTCTATTCCTACGGGGCAGCAGGGTGGTGACTAGCACCGTTGCTTCACAGCAAGAAGGTTCCAGGTTCAACCCTAGTGGCTGACCAGTTCTCCTCATGCATGCTTTGGTTTTCTCCCTGAGTACTCTTTCTTTCCACAGTCCAAAGACATGCAGGTTAGGTTGACTGGTGACTCTAAATTCCCCATAGATATGAATGTGAGTGTGACTGGTTGTCTGTTTCTGTGTGAACCATGTGGTAGACTGTAGACCTGTTAAGGGTGTACCTCACCTCTCATCTAATGTCAGCTGGGATTGGCTCCCATTGGATTGGATGGATGGATGGATCTATTGCTTGATTGCACTCCCAGTCATTCTCTGTATTGACAGTAATGAATAGTTTTTTTCCCCAGGGTTCAAAGGTGCAGAGATGTGGAACCCAAACACTCCTCTAAATGAGGACTGTCTGTACCTAAATGTCTGGTCCCCACATTTCAACAAAACCCAGTCTCAGCCTTCACCATTGGTTCCTGTTCTTGTATGGATCTACGGAGGCGGGTTTGCCATGGGAACGTCCTCTCTGGACATTTATGACGGCCGCTTCCTGAGTAAATCCGAAGGTGTTGTTGTGGTGTCAATGAATTATAGGTAAGAACTGATGTAAGCTTAAACTATAAACTCTTAATAATGAGTAGATATAATTACTGTAATTTATGTAGTGTAACTGGAAATTCCTTGATGATTATTTAACAGTGAGGTGAATATCTAGCCTACCCTACAGTGTGACACTGAATTCTTGAATCAAAGAAATGCTAATTGGTTTGAAGAGGAATTCATAAATAAGAAAGTCCTTATCACTAAACACAGTACTCCTTTACTGTAAAATATTTACTCATCCCTGTGCTTATCAATAACAGACTTGGAGCTTTGGGTTTCCTGTCCCTTCCTGATAATGAGCATGTTCGGGGCAATGCAGGCCTTCTGGACCAGCGCTTGGCCCTCCAATGGGTAGCAAATAATATTGCAGCTTTCGGGGGTGATCCTTCAACGGTAAAATGTTTGTCTTTTATTCTTTAGCTAAAATCAAGTAGTGCAAATTTTCTTAAAATTCTTACAGCAAACAATGGAAAAAGCTGTTGGATTTTGATTTGTTGTTCTTTTCAGGTTACTCTGTTTGGGGAGAGTGCTGGGTCAGGCTGTGTGGGCCTCCACCTGCTTTCCCCAGGAAGCCAAGATCTTTTTCAAAGGGCTATTATGGAGAGTGGCTCTCCTAATGCACCCTGGGGCACAATTAGCCAAGCTGAGTCTTGGGACAGGTAGAGTATATATATATTTTCACCTTTAGTCTTCACTTATTTAATCTGGTCTCCCTCAATGTTCTTTTTGTTCCTTAAAATCCTCATTTTCCTTCCTTTTACTTATTCCCTTGCTCCCTTTTTGTGTCAATATCCAGGTCCCTGATGCTGGCAAAACTACTTGGGTGTTCCACATTTCCTCCAGCTCAACTAGAAGCTTGTCTCCAGGAGGCTGATCCTGCGACTATCACATCAAAACAATATGAAATTTTCACAAAGCCTTCACTCTTGACCTTACCCTTTGTCCCTGTTGTTGATGGGGACTTCCTTCCAGATGACCTTGAAGTAGGTGTATGTGTTTGTGCGTGTGTTGATGGATGTAGTAATGGGAAATCAGTAGGGGTGAATGTGGATATTGCACATAAAACATGATTTTGCGTGTTTTAAAGAAATATTTTTGATAGATATGTTTTAGTATGTTTTCACTGTCATACCTCAAATGTAACAAATGTCATTCACCAGGTCAGTTTATGAGTACAGTTTTGATGGTTGAAGGTACAACAACATGCAGACATTGAGGCTAAAATTAATCAACATTTTATGTTAAAGCTAAATACTTACAGAAGATGTCTATATGTAGTTGGGTTACCTATTTTCACACCAGCATCCACACTTCGAAACCTTTCACACATCAAAATATATACTGAAATGTAGATGACACAATATTTAGATGATGTAATCTGTAGAAGCAGAAGTCCCAGAAACATCATCTTGAACTATCTGTAGCCTAATTTCAGTCTATCATCAAATCATCAAAACATCTGATTTGTTTCCCCTTGCAGGTTTTGCAGAGGACCAGTAACCTCCCAAAGAAAGATGTGCTGGTAGGTGTAAACAAGGATGAAGGGACCTACTTCCTAATTTATGGAGTACCTGGATTTGGCATCATTGATGAGAGTCTTATCAGCAGGTATCAGTTCCTGCATGGGGTGCATCTTACAATGGTAGACGCAAGTAATGTCACAAGAGAAACGGCCCTTTTCCAGTACACAGATTGGACAGATGTGGACAATAAGATGAAAAACCGTGATTTGCTGGGTAATCTGGTTGGAGACCAGCTGTTCGTTTGTCCTGTGCTAGAGTTCACTCAAAGGTAATGAACAATTCAGTCATTTTAATCTTTTCACATATTTTTACTTATGACATACATGCATTTACCTTTTTTACATACAGTATATTAACAATTTTTCCTGAATTTTTATCATTTATATTTCAGTTTTATAATCCATATTTTCACACATTTTCTTTTACAACTTTGGGAAAAAGCCACATTGTATTCTATACCTGTAGCACATACACTATTAGTTGTATAGAGAATGTGAAGTTGTCACGCCATCTTGAGTTTTGGGTAAATGTGCCATGTTTGGAGCATCATGCTCATTATCAGTCATAGATATATACACTACATACATCTATGAGTTCTTTAAAAAAAAAAAAAAAACTATCCCATACAGATTCAACTTCATCCAAACATCCACTTTATCGTTCAGTCTGCGCACAGACAGGACAGAAACAGTGTTTGTGTTATCTGCCGACAGCTGCTAGCTAGCATTAGCTCCTGACCCGAGAGCTCAGGTCAGTGTGCAGAGTCATTTTTCAGCCTGTCACTTTTGTAGACAGGGTCTCTAGGTCCACTAGGAGTTAGCTACAGTCAGATAAAGTTATCCATTTTGAATTACCACTGTAAAGTGAGATCCAAACTATTTACAGTAAGCAACTGTTTAGCCAAGGAAAACAAGAATGTATGCAGGTAAATACAGCATATATCTCCTAAAATGATGCCCCATCCAAACATTGAACACAGCTTGATGTACCTTCACATTCTCTATATGTGACAAATACATGTTTGATATGTTTGGAGTTTGTTTTAGGTACTTATGATTTTGTGAAATAATGAGCATAGGGTAAACAGTAGAAATGTGATATTCACTTTATTAAATAATCTACTAAGGAATCTAGAAAACCAACTATGAATGCATTTATAATTGGCCTTAAGCCTTGCCAGATGATGCTTTATTGTGTTGCAGCAAAAGCTGAGCAGTGTCTTGGTTGTTCTTTGTACATAGATCCGTGTTTGTTTGTTTTTACTTGAGCAGGAGATGTACTAAAATATCTTAATATGGTAATTTTTTCCAGCTACTCACAACATGGTGGTAAGGCTTTTTTATATTTATTTGACCACCGGTCATCCAATAATCCTTGGCCAGAATGGATGGGCGTTATGCATGGCTATGAGATAGAATTTGTCTTTGGGATGCCGCTGAATGCTTCCCTGGGATACACAAAGAATGAAGTGAACATGACCAAGAAGATTATGAAACACTGGGCCAACTTTGCACGGACAGGGTATGCATAATTAGATAGCCATTTGGTCAAACCAACTAAGGATCCTTATGGCACTTCTGAATTGTTTTGATTGGCTTTTCTTTTTTATCAGGGATCCAAGCATTGATGGAGATAACTGGCCCATGTTCACCTCTGAAAAACAGGAGTATATCACTCTGAACTACAAGCATCCAGAAAAAAAGAGCATGCTGAGGGCTAATGAGTGTCATCTCTGGAACAAATTAATGCCAAATATACAGAAAGTCTCAGGTTAGACACATAAAATCAATCAATCAATCTATCTATCTATCTATCTATCTATCTATCTATCTATCTATCTATCTAATGTCACATAAAAACATACAAACACTCTACTGCATACAGTTTTCTGTAGTAGGAGGCATTACATCAGGCTCTGTTGTGGAGGTGTTTTGCCTTGTTTAGGGTGTGGAGGAGATTGTATTCAGGCGTGCACCTCCCTGGAGCTCTGGAGGTCTGAGTGAGAGGCAAGGAGGGTCAGTCATGACTTCACTAAAAATGATCATACACATAATAATACTCATTCCTCTTCACTGAGTTCACTGTTGACACAGAAACACACAAGAACCACACATTGCATATTTTCACAAGTAGGACTTTTACTGTACAAAGCACTATTTACTGTGTGGCATCACTTTGTAACCCTATTCATCCAGAATGGCCCTGAGTCTGTTATCAAAATGATACTTTGTAACTTTAAGTCCACACCGGTTGTTTCTAATAAGACTGATCAAGCAAAAATATTCCATTTTATTGAAAGTGATAGAATAAGATTTAGAAAAAGTGTGGTACATGCACATATAGGCAAAATCTAACTACAATAAACAATCCTTTATGAACAGTTACAAAATGAAACTCTTGCTATCTGGTTTTCTTTCCACAGATGATCTGCGGTCCTGTGTTAAAGCAAATGGGATTATACTCTGCTGTAATTACACATCCCTCATCATTTTACTGGTTTTTGGTTTACTGGTTTATTAGAAGAAACTTGTCTTTCATACAGTTTACATAAAAATAATAGACCGAAAGAATGAACATGTTTTCAGTGCAATTATAAAAAATGTATGTATTTTTCAAAGAAATTGATTTGTGCTATATTGAATTCAGTGGTGGAAAACTTTTTTATATTACTGATGTCATAACCTGGCTCTTAACACCAAAGAGGCCACTGTCATCATGCGCCATTTTATGAACATATGGGCAGCAGCATTTCCCACCAAGCCAACCCCATGAGGAACCCACTTCCCAAACAACAACTGGTTCTTTAACAAAAAAACAAACAAAAAAAAACCTGGCAAAGTTATTAAATTTATCATCTCATAAAAGAGGAACCGCAAAACAAATCCACACCATCCCATGCCATACTATTAGGTTGCTTTCTGCTCAGAGATCCCTGATCCTGTCACCAAAGGCCCCAAACTGCCTCTCTTCTGACTTTACTGCATTAGAATGTGCATCTTGGACTCATACTTCTGACCTTAAATGATAAGTTTCAATTAACTCAGATGAGTCCAAGACATTTGGCTCCCTTCAGTCTGATCAGTTTCCTAGATAACGAAACACGGAGATGCAAAGGGAACCTCCTTTAGCTGCACACTAGAATGTGAACAGTGTTATAAACTGACTTGGTACACTCTTTTGGATAAAGACTTGGAAACTTTGTTAACCATGAGTTGTGTGAAATATCTATAAGAAAGGTTGGAATGTTTGAGTCAGACTGATGATGGACATATACATAATGAGTCACCTTGTCAAGAACCTTGGTGAAGCCAGCATTCTGAAGAAGACCTGGCCAACTGAGAAGGAGCTCCACTCCCAAGAGCGAGCCCAGAAATCCAGCAATAACAGATTTGTCCCAAGTTTTTAGCCCGGAACCATCTTGGCACTCCAGATCCTGCTCAACTCCGGCCCAAAGAGCCTCCAAACCAGCGCTTCTCCTCTCCTGGCCACATGGAAGCTCCAAAGTTAATGGCTAACTCCTGCTAACAGCTAAGTGCACTCTGGCTAACTGATGTCTCATGAAAACCTTAGTTATTAGTTATCACATACCAAATTATTTTTCCTCTCCACATTTGTGATTAGACCACAGAATTTAGATATAGAATCAAGCAAAATTTTTGACCAGAATAAGCATATTCCACCACTGCTAAAAACAGGCTGGTCATTCATTCATCAGAGATGTACCATTTTGCATTACATCTTTCATCCCCATCATTTTCCCTGTATACATATTGTCAATAAACTTATAACTGGCTTCATTATGTCATCTTTGGGTCTCTCGTTTCCAGTACAGAGGTTCACTGGAATGATAAGGATTCATTTCTTTCAGATTTAGACTGATTTAATTACTATAACTAATTGTTTAATAGTTTGATGGAACTATAACCATCTTGTGTCCCAATCTAACGAGTTATTTGAATATTAAATATTGATATGTATTTTCATAAGTGTAGTAATTTCTGCTACACCCCTCAGAAATAGCATTAGATGGGCAGAGTGAAACTACAGGTGCTGGAGGAGTTTCTCTCCAAACACACCTACCAAGCACACCAAAATTAATTAGAAGAACAAAAAAAAAGACAGAATTGTTAATGTAATACATAATAGTAATTACTCCAAATAGTCACCATGTTTAACTTGACTGAACAAAATTTGTTATGTATGAATGGGGATTTTCTGTGAATGATCTCCATATGCCTGTATGGATTCTCTCTGGGTACTCCGGCTTCCTCCCACAGTCCAAAGACATGCAGCTTAGGTTGATTTGTGACTCTAAGTTGCCCGTAGGAGTGAGTGGGTGTGTGTCGTTGCCTACATTTCAGCCCTGTGATAGACTGGCAACCTGTCCAGGGTGCACACCGCCTCTCACCTAGTGTCAGCCAGGATTGGCTCCAACCCCCCGTGATGGATGGATGGAAGCAAAATCTGGCTGATAACCATAAGATAATGAATGAAGATTTTAACAGACTATTTCATCACCAAAACAATCAGGGATGCTCTGGATTCCTAATGGTGTATTGTTTCCAGTGTTGATCATCACCATTTATTGATGAATAAAGATGTGGATATAAGGTGTAGTCTGTTCTCAATTTTTAATGTATTTTGCTGACTAATTATACATTTGACTGACGGATACACATGGGCACAACTCTCCAAATATACACAAAGTCATGATTATTACTACTTCCTTAACATGAACACATTATATCAAATTTTTATGAACAAAAGGAAAAATGTGAAAATGAGTCAAATGTGATTTTAAAAATGAACAACAGAAAAATCCACATGAACATTTTCCCTCATTCTGTCAGAGAAAACAGCAATGAGATAGTGTTGCCAAGCAAAGGTCAGAGTGCTCATACAAAAGGCTAATGATATGCTAGATAGAAATGAACTTCTTTGTTTGAATGAACTTAAATGCTACTTAAACTTATTTGGTGGAAAAGTAATAATGTCTGACACCACTCCACAATTCTAGCACCACTCCCTAATACAAACAGTGTTTGTACAAACAGTGTTTGTATTAGGGGGTGTTTCCCTCCTTACTTTCTTTCCTTCTTTCTTTCGTTCTTTTCCATATTTTTTAGAAGTTGCAAACAAATATGATACAACTCTTATCGTGTTACTCAGTACTGTATCTGCTTAGATGAGCTTGTTAAATGCCAAGCCATTTATTTTTGTCATAATAAATACACACACAGACTCAAACACATTAAGTTAAGCTCTTTTCAGTTTGACCTTTTCTAGTGATTATTGTGCAATGACTCCTTATCACTGCTTACAAGATGTGCCTATGTCTGACACGGGTAAAGGAAAAGAGGGACAACAAAGAAAAGGAAGACGACAAATGGAGACCTTTAAACGACTATAAGGGTGTTAAGGGTGTCTTTGGGGGTACAATAGTTATTCCAGCCTTGAATTAACATCCTCTCTTGGTTAAGTCAAAATATTGCACTTGTCTTGTGATAAGCACAGAGATCAAGAAAAACTGGAAATGATCAAAAAAGAGAAAACTTTTATCTTTCCTCAATTTATGCTATCTGTTTTGATTTTTGAGGGCTCATTAAGACTGGTGCAGTTGTAATGTACTTATTCTAAGGTCACAGCATTTTTTTGCCTAATAGAGACCAAAATCACAAAAAACAACATATTTATTTCATTATTTCAAATATGAAAAGTTGTTTTATTCCAGTCATGTAGAAGCTGTTACTCAGGTGGAAGAGTGTATGAGAAAGCCCGAATGAAATGCATTAAAAATGCCTTGGTGGAAAATTAGGCTAATATAAATTAACCATAATGAAAGAAATTACACTACAAATTCTGGGTGATGATTTCTGCTTTAGAGTTTCAATGAGACATTGAAACATTATTATCCTATTATCCTGATTATTATCCAGTCAAAAAAACAAAATTGAAGCCTCAGAGCAAATACATAAAAATAAATAAAATACATACCATATAGAGTGCTGGTTATGGGTAATGCTGTGTGATGTTAATGATATTCTTTAGTCATGAAAATAAGAGCATAGAGTACAGGAAAGCTACAGTATATTGAAAGTCAGGCTAAATTATGAAAACAACTCTACAGCCATGTTGTCAGCAGGGTAAGGTTGTCATTGTGTTAAAATGTTAACAGTGACAATGCTATCATGATGTTTAGCGGGAAAAATGTTTACCATGTTTCCCATCTTTAGTATATTAGCATGCTAACATTTGCTACCTAGCACTCAACACAAAGTAGCTGATGCTAATGGGAATATCGTTATATTTGCAAGTATTTGGTTGATACCCAAAGTCCTGGAGAAAGTACAATTCTGACTGCTTTTTAGTTCTGCATGACAGTTTTGTACCTATTTGCTGTTGTAGAGATATTACATTCTGGACCAAAATGGTGACAGATAGTCATTAGCATCCTAGAGCCACACCCCTAGTTTGGCTAATATCAAACATAAAGTTAGCTATGTGCTAACAGGTGTTATTCTGAAAGTATACAGTATATGGTAAAAGTTACAAACTTCATCTACAAAGTGGATATTGACACAGGTGTGAATCTTTATGAAGTGAAGCTGTCTGTACACATTCCACTGCATGAGTCAAAGTGCTCCTGATGTATAATTTGTTGTTTGAGCAGTTCGTAGTTTTGATTTCACAGGAGTTCACAGCTTATGACAGCATTGTGTGGATATACGTAGGTTTTCAAACGTAGCCATCTGGCCCCTTCGGTTCCACAGCTCCTGTATCATTACACCACAGAAAATTATAGTTTCATCTGCAAATGATACACAATTATATAATTATTATTTTTTTTTTGAATGGAATACAGTTGCTTCGCAGGAGGTTAGCTGTTTTGATCCATGCCAGTGCCACAGTTTAGTTCTCAGACATGACACTTTGAGACAGATGGCAGGGGTGAGCTCTGATTAATGCGCATAATAGTGGCAGCTTAATTAATTAAGAGGACAAAGCCTCCCACTGCGTTCCAAGTGAAATTACTACTACCAAACCCTGGGCAGAGTCAAGGCAGAACTATTGTCAAAAGAATGACAATGGTTGATTTAAAAGCATGACAACATTTGTTTCACATGAGGCAGAAACATGAGGAGTTTTAAAGAAAATTGCCATCCTTAAGATATTGTAGAAATTTTAATTCCCAATAGTATAATAGTAGAGTTCACTATTCACTGTTCTTACTTTGTTTCACGATATTCCTGAAACGTCCTCTTCATACATTTTGCTCCCTGAAATGTATTTAAACTTTGAATGCAATGGGTTGCATGTATCTCATTTGAACTCCAAATAATTGTCAGCCGACAGGCAAGCACACAGGTTCCTTCCTCATGCATCTCCTGTTCAGTTTGTCCTGATGTCTCCATTCATACGGAAGCACCCACTTGACATCCTTACCAATTGGCCTTTCCAACTCAAGGCTCATTATTTCTGAGGTAATGTCACTACTGAAACAATGGTAAAGTGTTTGTTTGTTTGTTATATCTTGATGCTTTTCTTTTCTTTCTCCTCTATGAACCTCAACCAGTCGAGGCAGACAAGCCATCTACTAAGACCCTGGAGTTTTTCCATTCCACTGTTGCCAAGTGTTTGCTCAAGGGGGATCTGTACTACATTATCTATACCACTTATTCCTGAATATGGTCACGGGGGGCTGGAGCTAATCCCAGCTGACATCGGGCGAGAGGTGGGGTACACCCTGGGCAGGTTGCCAGTCTATCGCAGGTTTGACACTCAGAGACAGACAACCACACACACTCACACTCATTCCTATGGGCAATTTAGAGTCACCAATCAACCTAAGCAGCATGTCTTTGGACTGTGGTAGGGAGCTGGAGTACCCGGAGATATA